GAGATGGTCACCAGCCAAGGATGGTAATTACCAAATTTTCTGTAGTGTCACAGAGATTACAGGCTGTGGAGCAAATCTGGGGCTCAGGTAAACATAGCCACTGTTCCCCCTCTATTTTGCAACTAATTTACTATAAATTTCCCCATTGCTGGGCCTTGAGATGGTCACCAGCCAAGGATGGTAATTACCAAATTTTCTGTAGTGTCACAGAGATTACAGGCTGTGGAGCAAATCTGGGGCTCAGGTAAACATAGCTGATTTGGAGCTGACTGCACTGGAAGCTCCTTTTCTAAATGGTGACGGGTTTTTTTCTCTGGGATGTCTAGAGCACTGGCTTGTGGAGCATATATCAGTATCTTGAGGATGGGGAAGAAAATAAGAGTGAGAATTTTAATCACTTCTTTTCCTTTTGAAGATTGATGAATGGAAAGCGAAGCTGGACCAGATGTTGCCCTCCCTTCTGGATGGAACTGTGGCCTGGCTTCAGGAGGTAGAACATCTGCAGGCCGAAGATTTGCCTGATTTGCAGGACTCATTTAAAGCAATGTTTGTCTTCCAAGAAATAATTGTAGTATTTAAGGTATGCTGATCATAAAGGAACATTCTGCTTCAGTCTGACCTAGCAAAGCACTTGTTATGGAATTTCTATTTGATATTTTGGGAAGTGATATGGATATGTTTATCTTTTGAAGATGAAAAGCTCTTCTGAGAATACCTTTGAACAATGATGAGTTTAATTAAATAACTGCTTGAGCATATAAAGACGATTTCTGACTTCACTGGGATGAGATCAAATTTCAGTACTATCTGAATGAGTAAATTACGGTATTCTTTTTTTGTGGTTCTTGCAACTTGTTTGTTTGTTAAGTACACAGGGTAATTGCATCCTTATCTTTAAATCTATGCTTAATACATACCTATTCAGAAAAGCACTTGGGTTTACATTCCAGTGAGTTCATGCAGTTTGTGTGTTTAAAGTTAAGTATTTGCTGAATCACTTTGTAATCCCATTTAAAGCAATGGGAGGTATTTTGATACCTCAGAATCATACAAGTTATTTATTCTGATCTTGAAATCTTTACAGTGATAATCGTTTAAACGGTCTCTTGAGTTTGAAAACATTGAAAAGAGTGGATGTGTTGATGTCTCGTTGACATCTTAATGCTGTACTTGGGTTTTTTTATGAGCAAGGGGGAAGCTGGATGTTTTTGTGACGTGCCCTTAAAGTGAATTTGAAGGAATGGGAAATTGGTGTTCTTGTGCGTGGCTTGACAACACCACTTTTTTTGTACTGTTGCCAGTCAGTTTCCAGCATGAGACGGCTTTTTAACTGACAACAACTTTGCCAGACTCTAGCATTACAAATTTTGATTTTTGTTGTTCAGCCGAAGTAGTTAAAGTATTTCTAAGAATGACACATAGAGAAACGTTGTTGGTTTAGGGTTCTCTTTTTTTACCATTGAATATGTAGATAAAATCATTAAGTTCCTTAAGAAGAAGAAAGCCAAGACAGTTAACTTCCGTCAAGTCCTTTTATCCTGATGGAAAGACATTCTGCTGAGAATTCTTTTTCACCTCCTTCCTCCTTTTAGTATGTGTCCTTTTATGTCCTTAAGTATATAAGTCCTTTTAGTATGTCTTGTCTCATGTAGGGATCTTGTTACCAAGGTGGTGCCTTATAATGGACATTTTACTTTCACTTAAGATCTAGGAGTTTACCCAGCAATGCTCATAACTGACTGGAATAGTATTAAGGTTACAAAATCAAGTGTTTAAAATCTGTGCACTATTTTTGGGGTTGAGGGCTGTCTCAGGATTTAGCTATTTCCATTAACATGCTTTGTGGCAGGTTTTATTACGTAGAAATGAACTTCTAGCGTATTTCTTTATATGCCACTTTTGAATATGCTTATATTCTGTGCAATGCATTTTATGGTTTATTTTTACATTGAGAATTTCGTGTTGAGACACATCCCCATAAAATAATCTCCAATCGTGATACCTGCCATCAGAAGCTTAATGCGATATGTCATCGGCGTGGTGTTAGATGGAAGTTTATTGAACAGTTAAATTAAGTATTAAGTGTGACACAATAAGTTGATATTCAACAGGTTTTGCTGTCAGTCTTTGTTAACAGATACCAAAGAACAACTTAATATCCTGAAACTGTTACAATGACACTTCTTGGTCCTAAAGATGATAGTGAAAGTGCAGAAAAAACTAATAGCACAGGTAGTGTACATTCATGTTCCTTATATTTAACTAGATGCACAATGATAAGAGAAATCAGTGGACTAAATATGCATTTTAGAAGGTGATGAGGTAAATATTTTCATTGCACTTTAATGAGTAAAGACACTGGAAGACTGCCTTGTGCTGACTAGCTCTTAATAGCTCTCACTCTAATGGCAGGTGTCTTGCAGACTCCTGGGTGAAATACTCTAGAATTAAAATGAATGGCTTACTATGTCTTATTCTTCCCAGGGCTTGATGGATTGTTTTGATTCTCACTTGGGCACCCTTCAATCATTTAAGAATGAAGATGAGAAGAATATGCCACTAGTCTTGCCCGAAAAGTTAGAGGAAATGAAAAGAAGGTTGTGATCCTCAAATTCCCTCTACTTCAACTATGTTGTATTCTAGCTCTGATATGGTATTCAGAACAAAGCATGTAATTTATCTGTGCCTTGCAGAAAAAGAGCATTTTCCACCTAAGCACAGGTTGACTGTCGAGTAGAGCAAGCAGGTTCACTCATTAGTTCAATGAATGTCTAATTATGTGTACAAAGTGGAGCTCATTAACAGGACGTTTTTGGATCCCGATTCTGGTGTGGATAGGAAACACCCACTAGATGTAGGAAACATGAATATTTTGAATGTAAAAATTTCTCTGGGGGTGGGGATTCTCTCTCTGATTTTTTTAACTTCCACCTTTTAAAATCACTGACATCTACAGGTTGTGCAAGCCCATATAGCTGCTGGAGGATATTTTCAAAAATGCCTAGTGAATCTGTGTGTGTAACCTGAGACCCTTTGACATATAGATGGCAGACACCCCTTTTTGGGGCATTTAATTTTTTTCATAAATTGAGCAGTTGATATTGACTCAAAATTGTTGCTACTTAAAAAAAAAGCCCCGAAAAAAAACTCTATTTCTACCTTAAAATTTTACTCCTCTCATAACAAAATAATGTTTACATATATATAATTCTGAGTTTTTAGGCTTAAAACCTAATACGTTAATGCTTTCTACATCCAATGATTTTGAGTCAGCTTTTAGAACGCTTCACTGTTTGCAGATTTAGTAATATTTGTTTCACAAACTCCAACACCTTTCTTGAATACCACTATGGACTGTGCTCAGCTATTGCCAATGAGGTGATGTTAAAGCTAAATATTTGGGACATGAAATATGGGACAAAAGAGTCTGTGGAATCACTGCTGGAAAATTGGAATTTAAGTTTAAAATACATATATCACACCCTGACAATAATTATTCTTCCCCACCTCTCCTTGATTCAAGCTTGTGTCTGTCCTCATCTGAAGACACTATGGTAGTTGGTAGAAGCGTGGTAGGCTTGTGAGATCTGGGATTTATGCAAAGAAGGACAGGTAGACTTCCATAGAAGCTTTCTCTGTGTCTTGCTGTTTTCCTCTGAATGAGATTTCTTTCTTCAGTTTGGAGAAACAGAGTGAGCTGTGACTGTTTGCAATTTTCTCTCTGCCCTTTTTCATTCTTTATTGGGAAGATTTGTCTCCTTCTAGACTACTTATTGGGCCAGCAATACAGGTGTTCCCTAAGTCAAACTTAGGGGGTAATTCAGTAGTTGCTGTCTTCAAAAGCAACCATTACCCACAGTGCTGGCTACTACTGCCTCTTGCTGTTACCGCTTCCTTTTCCAGCTTCCATACCTCCTTATGCTTTGTGGTGAATATGAATAGTCTTGTTTTGATATATTTTGTGCTTAGCTCAGCTTCTGAGCTCGAGTTATTAAAATGATGCCATGTATGGGCCTATGGGAGGGGATGGATTACCCTACCCCAAATACTGCCAAAGATGCATCAGGAATAGAGGCAGAGAGCTGAACATGCTGATGCCGTCAATTTTGCCCCACTTCCAGTTGATGGGGCTCCTTGTGAATTCCATCTTAGTGGAGTTTCTAAAGAGTTTCTCAGAGCCTTTTCAGACGGGCAAATCCCTAGTTAAATTAGTGGGAATTTCTCCAGCATCAGAACTGTGGAAGGAGGCAACGCGTGGCTGTATAAAATGTCAGGTTTCCTGAGCAGTGTTAACCTTAGCCTGTGGTGAGGTGGGAGTACAGAGTTAATCTGCTCTGAGTTTCTTGATTCAGATGGTTTCATAAATATTTATTACTATGTTATTTCTACAGTTGTGGTTCGTGGTCTTTCTCAAGCTGATAGAATATAGAGCTTTCTCAAGGAGCTTAAGGCTTTTTGCTGGCTTTCCCTCTGGTCCCATGAGTGGGGGCATGGTGGCCCAGGTTTGTCATGGCCACAAGAGACGGTTGTTTTGTAGCCTGCTAGATAGGATGTTTGTAGGAGTGAGGAGCTCTGGAGTGAGATGCAGCTCAGAGAGAGAGGGGCTGAGGATGAACCCTCATTCCCTGGATGAATGTTCAAAGCACTAGTCTTCTTTGCTCCCATTTCTTCCTCTCTCATCCTTCCCATCTGCAGTTTGGATATTACTTGATCTATGACAGGAGCTAGGCACGTTGATATTTCTGTGAATGCAGGGAAACCCACCTTTCGCTTTCATCACTTTAACTTCCGTCACTAAATTTTGCCTGAGTTGTTCTAGATGCCATTTCTTAATATTGCCCTAGGGCTGTAACTTTTTGAAATAAGCAGTCCTGATTCATGCATGGCTGTAACTCAGGCAATGGCATTCAGGATGTAATAGTCCCATTTTAGTTACTCATTGCACAAGCAGAAAAAAGATCAGCCTGTTTCAGACTAGAAGGTGCAGATGAGTTGCTGGATGGACTTCGCTCAATTTACATTTAACCTGCGGGTTATAGGCTCATATTAAAAGAAAAAGTATCCCAAGCTACATTTCCTACCTAGTTTTATGTGGGTTAGTGTTACCCATGCCAATTACTTTTCACTTTGGGCAGAATTTCATTGAAGAAAAGAGACTTGAAACAGTACTAGAAGCTGCTACTCGCATCTGTGAAGACTTGAAAAACAAAACCATAAGCAATCCTGACTTAGGTAAGTTCATGCGCATAAACTGATATGAAGACCTCTATTTTGAACTGATGTGCTGTCACTAGATTTATTTCCCGCTATGTTTTGTGTAAAATAGTGCTTCCATGTAATTAACCTCTCTCTTCTCAAATGGATAATGATATTCCCTATCTCATGTCCTAGTAAATACCTAGGGTGTAAACACCCTACAGAAAGTCCTGTCTTCCTGGAGTAATTATACAGAAAATATCCACTTACTAAAGATGTGGCTGGAAGGAAAATGAAATGAGCATCCCAAAGAGGTATGTGGTTGGATTTCTCTTTGTAATGACGGACAGGGGTACTTGGAAGCCTCCTGGAAGAAAAGCATTATACATGACAGTGGTTGTAGCCATTGCTGGTTTTTTCTGTTCCCCATTTCGGAAATAAACTTTTGGCACGGTTCTGCTTTAAATAATTTCAGTGCCTCTGTCTAGATCCCTGCTGAGATCCTGGCAAAGTGGAATTCAGTACATGGTTCCTTAAATGAAGCCGGAAACCATCTCATCGAAGTCAGCAAAGAGCAAGTTGGATCAAATATTGCCAAAGAGATGAAGAAACTGAACAGGAGATGGGCTAAGTTCATCAAGCGGACACACTTTGTAAGTTCCTAGTTTCATATGACACTTTTGCTATGCAGCCTTCAAAATCATATTTTTTAGATTTATCAACTTGCTGATCAGAGGTTAATAAATCTTTTAGTCAACTCAGAATGGCCTGTTTTAAAACAGGAGGAGTAGAGAATACACAAAGGCATTCCATTCTTAAGTTTCTGTGACTCGGTTAAATGCTCTTCATGACTCAATGGAAAATATTCAATTTTTTCAATGGAAATTTTAAAACCACTCATAAAAGGAAATCTTATTGCAGGATAAAGCTCTTCATTCAGTTCTAGAGATGGAAGTAGTCGATTTGTAAAGAGCTTGTGAGCCCTTGCTAAATTGTAAATCTCTGTCTCAACTAATTATTGCTGCATAGATATTTCTAGCATTGTGCAGCTTTACACCAGCTCACTTGACAGGTTTTTATTCTGCTGTGAATTCCTATACAACCTGTTTAATGTTACATATATTACATTTCCTGGAATGCTTTCACAAAAGTGACACTTTTGCTCTGCTTGGGAATATTAGAATATCGGGAATTGGGAATATTATTAATTTTCCAAGTTGATATTGGCATTTATTGAAGGTCCTGCTGTGACAAGAAATGGTGGCAAAAAATTACAATGCTTTTGTAGGAGATGAGTGAGGGAAATCTGGAGTTTCCTAGAAAAACCTGTAGTAAGAGTTGCTTTTAGGAAATACATTCAGAAAGAAGAGATAAAGAGGCCTCTTCCATCCTTACAAGGGCCGAAGTACACCAGGAGTTATTTTTCTGACATTGCTTAGGACGTTATGGCTATAATGTTTATTATATTTGGTTTTATGTGTAAAAAAGGCAAGGGCAAATGCTTGAGTGCTCACCTGTGACTGCCAGTACTTTTAAACTCTTAGCACACTCCCTGGTTTGGATTTGACCAACACCAGCTATCGTTCTGTTGGATAATTCCCTGGCATAGCTGGGGGGATACTGCAGCCCAGGAGTTCTCCATAGTAGTGTGGCTGTGGCTGCTTGTTTATAGAGGAGAGGGCGGGCCATATGGGCCCAGGTTGTGCTGTCCCAACTGCTCTCATGGTTGAAGAACTGTCTTGCATGATGTATTTGCTGGTACGTTTGGCATTTTTCTCTGCTTTGTTCCCCTTTGGGTCCAAAAAGCTGGAAAGTAACCTAAGTGGTGACTGTGTTGCAGGAGGATAGCAGAGAGACACGTGAACTGATGATGGGTATGAACATCTCACCCTGCTCTTCCTTTATAGCTTGATGAAGAAAGCACAGATGCTGCTGAAAAAAATGGGGAGCTTCGGGGCAGCCTGGAGAAAATTGAAGAGCTCCTTGGAGGGGTGGAGAGCCGGGCAGCGGAGATTGGATGCCTGCTTGGCAAGATCAGTCAGGAGAGGCCTGTGTAACCTGAGATAGAGGAACATTTGCAGGTAAAAATGGAACTATGCTGCTTAAAATACTTGTTAATCAAGTTCTTATCTTTCAGCACATTATAGTGGCTAGGGTAAAATGAACCGTCATCAGTGAAGCAGAAATGAACGTGGATTTTGTGCTGTAGCACGAGTAAGAATTCAAGGCAGTGCTACTGTTTTGATGTTATTTGCCAGGATTGCTCCCAAATGAGCTATAAATTTGTCTTCCAACATCAGTGTGTCCAGATGACAAGTGAGTGCCAATGAAGTGCTTGTCTTTGCAAGGCGCCAAGTTGAGAATTTCTCGTGGTCATATTTTGCATCATCTACCCTGCAGTACAGGGAGGAGGTTTGGGACAACTTGGGTGTATTCAAGGTTTACCTGTCAAAAATGAATACTTGAAGTATTTTCAGCAGCATGCTGGGTAACTTGTGCATTTCAGCTTATAGGCAGTTGCTCTAAACATCCACAATGAGCACTGATGAATTTTTGGTTACTTCCACTAGTCTCTATTGTTCCCCATGTTTCACTGCCAGGGGTTATTGTTTCCTCCCCCTAGCAGATGGCAGGTGGAAATATGTGTATATATAACTTAATTTTTTTTCACCTGCCAGTGAAGGTGAGACTGAACAAAGATGCCAAGCTTTGCACTGGAGAAGCTGAATCACTGTCCTATGTTGCCTTTTGCTATTTCTGCAGCAGGGCGTGTATAATCTAATGGTAGGAAGGTGACCACCAGAAGAAGGCTTGATTGGAGCTCTTCTGTCTGGGGGCTAAAATAGAGATCTTTAGTACATTAAATCCATCTACAGTAACTGTGAACTAAAATTGTTAGTTTACTTTTGGTTTTTTGTGCCTTCTTGCACTGTGTTTAGCTGACAGAGTTAGGAGAGTGAGCCTTTGAAAAGAATCTATTAATCTTTTTTGTAATTTTGGGCCTAGGTTTATAAAATAAGCCTCCTTTTTCAGTGTGATACTACTTTGTTAAAAACAACAAAGTAACAAAAGACATCCTGAAATACAGCCTCCAGAAGTGAGACTGGTATTGTATCTCTCTGTGAGCAGAAGAGATCAGGTTGCTTATTACCTGCAGTATAATAGGTTGAGATCCAGAATAAAGCACGGATTATCATTAGAAGAATGCTAAATGACAACTTCAAACAAGAAAACTTGTTGAATATTCATAGATCAAAACAGCTCTAATAATATTTCATGATAAATATTTAAATATGGCACACTGCTTTTGCATGCAAAATACCCAGATGCTTCCTGCCTTTTAGTACTGAATCTGAAAATCTGAGCCTTGATACAGGTTTTGCTGTCAGTCTTTGTTAACAGATACCAAAGAACAACTTAATATCCTGAAACTGTTACAATGACACTTCTTGGTCCTAAAGATGATAGTGAAAGTGCAGAAAAAACTAATAGCACAGGTAGTGTACATTCATGTTCCTTATATTTAACTAGATGCACAATGATAAGAGAAATCAGTGGACTAAATATGCATTTTAGAAGGTGATGAGGTAAATATTTTCATTGCACTTTAATGAGTAAAGACACTGGAAGACTGCCTTGTGCTGACTAGCTCTTAATAGCTCTCACTCTAATGGCAGGTGTCTTGCAGACTCCTGGGTGAAATACTCTAGAATTAAAATGAATGGCTTACTATGTCTTATTCTTCCCAGGGCCTGATGGATTGTTTTGATTCTCACTTGGACACCCTTCAATCATTTAAGAATGAAGATGAGAAGAATATGCCACTAGTCTTGCCCGAAAAGTTAGAGGAAATGAAAAGAAGGTTGTGATCCTCAAATTCCCTCTACTTCAACTATGTTGTATTCTAGCTCTGATATGGTATTCAGAACAAAGCATGTAATTTATCTGTGCCTTGCAGAAAAAGAGCATTTTCCACCTAAGCACAGGTTGACTGTCGAGTAGAGCAAGCAGGTTCACTCATTAGTTCAATGAATGTCTAATTATGTGTACAAAGTGGAGCTCATTAACAGGACGTTTTTGGATCCCGATTCTGGTGTGGATAGGAAACACCCACTAGATGTAGGAAACATGAATATTTTGAATGTAAAAATTTCTCTGGGGGTGGGGATTCTCTCTCTGATTTTTTTAACTTCCACCTTTTAAAATCACTGACATCTACAGGTTGTGCAAGCCCATATAGCTGCTGGAGGATATTTTCAAAAATGCCTAGTGAATCTGTGTGTGTAACCTGAGACCCTTTGACATATAGATGGCAGACACCCCTTTTTGGGGCATTTAATTTTTTTCATAAATTGAGCAGTTGATATTGACTCAAAATTGTTGCTACTTAAAAAAAAAGCCCCGAAAAAAAACTCTATTTCTACCTTAAAATTTTACTCCTCTCATAACAAAATAATGTTTACATATATGTAATTCTGAGTTTTTAGGCTTAAAACCTAATACGTTAATGCTTTCTACATCCAATGATTTTGAGTCAGCTTTTAGAACGCTTCACTGTTTGCAGATTTAGTAATATTTGTTTCACAAACTCCAACACCTTTCTCGAATACCACTATGGACTGTGCTCAGCTATTGCCAATGAGGTGATGTTCAAGCTAAATATCTGGGACATGAAATATGGGACAAAAGAATCTGTGGAATCACTGCTGGAAAATTGGAATTTAAGTTTAAAATACATATATCACACCCTGACAATAATTATTCTTCCCCACCTCTCCTTGATTCAAGCTTGTGTCTGTCCTCATCTGAAGACACTATGGTAGTTGGTAGAAGCGTGGTAGGCTTGTGAGATCTGGGATTTATGCAAAGAAGGACAGGTAGACTTCCATAGAAGCTTTCTCTGTGTCTTGCTGTTTTCCTCTGAATGAGATTTCTTTCTTCAGTTTGGAGAAACAGAGTGAGCTGTGACTGTTTGCAATTTTCTCTCTGCCCTTTTTCATTCTTTATTGGGAAGATTTGTCTCCTTCTAGACTACTTATTGGGCCAGCAATACAGGTGTTCCCTAAGTCAAACTTAGGGGGTAATTCAGTAGTTGCTGTCTTCAAAAGCAACCATTACCCACAGTGCTGGCTACTACTGCCTCTTGCTGTTACCGCTTCCTTTTCCAGCTTCCATACCTCCTTATGCTTTGTGGTGAATATGAATAGTCTTGTTTTGATATATTTTGTGCTTAGCTCAGCTTCTGAGCTCGAGTTATTAAAATGATGCCATGTATGGGCCTATGGGAGGGGATGGATTACCCTACCCCAAATACTGCCAAAGATGCATCAGGAATAGAGGCAGAGAGCTGAACATGCTGATGCCGTCAATTTTGCCCCACTTCCAGTTGATGGGGCTCCTTGTGAATTCCATCTTAGTGGAGTTTCTAAAGAGTTTCTCAGAGCCTTTTCAGACGGGCAAATCCCTAGTTAAATTAGTGGGAATTTCTCCAGCATCAGAACTGTGGAAGGAGGCAACGCGTGGCTGTATAAAATGTCAGGTTTCCTGAGCAGTGTTAACCTTAGCCTGTGGTGAGGTGGGAGTACAGAGTTAATCTGCTCTGAGTTTCTTGATTCAGATGGTTTCATAAATATTTATTACTATGTTATTTCTACAGTTGTGGTTCGTGGTCTTTCTCAAGCTGATAGAATATAGAGCTTTCTCAAGGAGCTTAAGGCTTTTTGCTGGCTTTCCCTCTGGTCCCATGAGTGGGGGCATGGTGGCCCAGGTTTGTCATGGCCACAAGAGACGGTTGTTTTGTAGCCTGCTAGATAGGATGTTTGTAGGAGTGAGGAGCTCTGGAGTGAGATGCAGCTCAGAGAGAGAGGGGCTGAGGATGAACCCTCATTCCCTGGATGAATGTTCAAAGCACTAGTCTTCTTTGCTCCCATTTCTTCCTCTCTCATCCTTCCCATCTGCAGTTTGGATATTACTTGATCTATGACAGGAGCTAGGCACGTTGATATTTCTGTGAATGCAGGGAAACCCACCTTTCGCTTTCATCACTTTAACTTCCGTCACTAAATTTTGCCTGAGTTGTTCTAGATGCCATTTCTTAATATTGCCCTAGGGCTGTAACTTTTTGAAATAAGCAGTCCTGATTCATGCATGGCTGTAACTCAGGCAATGGCATTCAGGATGTAATAGTCCCATTTTAGTTACTCATTGCACAAGCAGAAAAAAGATCAGCCTGTTTCAGACTAGAAGGTGCAGATGAGTTGCTGGATGGACTTCGCTCAATTTACATTTAACCTGCGGGTTATAGGCTCATATTAAAAGAAAAAGTATCCCAAGCTACATTTCCTACCTAGTTTTATGTGGGTTAGTGTTACCCATGCCAATTACTTTTCACTTTGGGCAGAATTTCATTGAAGAAAAGAGACTTGAAACAGTACTAGAAGCTGCTACTCGCATCTGTGAAGACTTGAAAAACAAAACCATAAGCAATCCTGACTTAGGTAAGTTCATGCGCATAAACTGATATGAAGACCTCTATTTTGAACTGATGTGCTGTCACTAGATTTATTTCCCGCTATGTTTTGTGTAAAATAGTGCTTCCATGTAATTAACCTCTCTCTTCTCAAATGGATAATGATATTCCCTATCTCATGTCCTAGTAAATACCTAGGGTGTAAACACCCTACAGAAAGTCCTGTCTTCCTGGAGTAATTATACAGAAAATATCCACTTACTAAAGATGTGGCTGGAAGGAAAATGAAATGAGCATCCCAAAGAGGTATGTGGTTGGATTTCTCTTTGTAATGACGGACAGGGGTACTTGGAAGCCTCCTGGAAGAAAAGCATTATACATGACAGTGGTTGTAGCCATTGCTGGTTTTTTCTGTTCCCCATTTCGGAAATAAACTTTTGGCACGGTTCTGCTTTAAATGATTTCAGTGCCTCTGTCTAGATCCCTGCTGAGATCCTGGCAAAGTGGAATTCAGTACATGGTACCTTAAATGAAGCCGGAAACTATCTCATCGAAGTCAGCAAAGAGCAAGTTGGATCAAATATTGCCAAAGAGATGAAGAAACTGAACAGGAGATGGGCTAAGTTCATCAAGCGGACACACTTTGTAAGTTCCTAGTTTCATATGACACTTTTGCTATGCAGCCTTCAAAATCATATTTTTTAGATTTATCAACTTGCTGATCAGAGGTTAATAAATCTTTTAGTCAACTCAGAATGGCCTGTTTTAAAACAGGAGGAGTAGAGAATACACAAAGGCATTCCATTCTTAAGTTTCTGTGACTCGGTTAAATGCTCTTCATGACTCAATGGAAAATATTCAATTTTTTCAATGGAAATTTTAAAACCACTCATAAAAGGAAATCTTATTGCAGGATAAAGCTCTTCATTCAGTTCTAGAGATGGAAGTAGTCGATTTGTAAAGAGCTTGTGAGCCCTTGCTAAATTGTAAATCTCTGTCTCAACTAATTATTGCTGCATAGATATTTCTAGCATTGTGTGACTTTACACCAGCTCACTTGACAGGTTTTTATTCTGCTGTGAATTCCTATACAACCTGTTTAATGTTACATATATTACATTTCCTGGAATGCTTTCACAAAAGTGACACTTTTGCTCTGCTTGGGAATATTAGAATATCGGGAATTGGGAATATTATTAATTTTCCAAGTTGATATTGGCATTTATTGAAGGTCCTGCTGTGACAAGAAATGGTGGCAAAAAATTACAATGCTTTTGTAGGAGATGAGTGAGGGAAATCTGGAGTTTCCTAGAAAAACCTGTAGTAAGAGTTGCTTTTAGGAAATACATTCAGAAAGAAGAGATAAAGAGGCCTCTTCCATCCTTACAAGGGCCGAAGTACACCAGGAGTTATTTTTCTGACATTGCTTAGGACGTTATGGCTATAATGTTTATTATATTTGGTTTTATGTGTAAAAAAGGCAAGGGCAAATGCTTGAGTGCTCACCTGTGACTGCCAGTACTTTTAAACTCTTAGCACACTCCCTGGTTTGGATTTGACCAACACCAGCTATCGTTCTGTTGGATAATTCCCTGGCATAGCTGGGGGGATACTGCAGCCCAGGAGTTCTCCATAGTAGTGTGGCTGTGGCTGCTTGTTTATAGAGGAGAGGGCGGGCCATATGGGCCCAGGTTGTGCTGTCCCAACTGCTCTCATGGTTGAAGAACTGTCTTGCATGATGTATTTGCTGGTACGTTTGGCATTTTTCTCTGCTTTGTTCCCCTTTGGGTCCAAAAAGCTGGAAAGTAACCTAAGTGGTGACTGTGTTGCAGGAGGATAGCAGAGAGACACGTGAACTGATGATGGGTATGAACATCTCACCCTGCTCTTCCTTTATAGCTTGATGAAGAAAGCACAGATGCTGCTGAAAAAAATGGGGAGCTTCGGGGCAGCCTGGAGAAAATTGAAGAGCTCCTTGGAGGGGTGGAGAGCCGGGCAGCGGAGATTGGATGCCTGCTTGGCAAGATCAGTCAGGAGAGGCCTGTGTAACCTGAGATAGAGGAACATTTGCAGGTAAAAATGGAACTATGCTGCTTAAAATACTTGTTAATCAAGTTCTTATCTTTCAGCACATTATAGTGGCTAGGGTAAAATGAACCGTCATCAGTGAAGCAGAAATGAACGTGGATTTTGTGCTGTAGCACGAGTAAGAATTCAAGGCAGTGCTACTGTTTTGATGTTATTTGCCAGGATTGCTCCCAAATGAGCTATAAATTTTTCTTCCAACATCAGTGTGTCCAGATGACAAGTGAGTGCCAATGAAGTGCTTGTCTTTGCAAGGCGCCAAGTTGAGAATTTCTCGTGGTCATATTTTGCATCATCTACCCTGCAGTACAGGGAGGAGGTTTGGGACAACTTGGGTGTATTCAAGGTTTACCTGTCAAAAATGAATACTTGAAGTATTTTCAGCAGCATGCTGGGTAACTTGTGCATTTCAGCTTATAGGCAGTTGCTCTAAACATCCACAATGAGCACTGATGAATTTTTGGTTACTTCCACTAGTCTCTATTGTTCCCCATGTTTCACTGCCAGGGGTTATTGTTTCCTCCCCCTAGCAGATGGCAGGTGGAAATATGTGTATATATAACTTAATTTTTTTTCACCTGCCAGTGAAGGTGAGACTGAACAAAGATGGCAAGCTTTGCACTGGAGAAGCTGAATCACTGTCCTATGTTGCCTTTTGCTATTTCTGCAGCAGGGCGTGTATAATCTAATGGTAGGAAGGTGACCACCAGAAGAAGGCTTGATTGGAGCTCTTCTGTCTGGGGGCTAAAATAGAGATCTTTAGTACATTAAATCCATCTACAGTAACTGTGAACTAAAATTGTTAGTTTACTTTTGGTTTTTTGTGCCTTCTTGCACTGTGTTTAGCTGACAGAGTTAGGAGAGTGAGCCTTTGAAAAGAATCTATTAATCTTTTTTGTAATTTTGGGCCTAGGTTTATAAAATAAGCCTCCTTTTTCAGTGTGATACTACTTTGTTAAAAACAACAAAGTAACAAAAGAGATCCTGAGATACAGCCTCCAGAAGTGAGACTGTTATTGTATCTCTCTGTGAGCAGAATAGATCAGGTTGCTTATTACCTGCAGTATAATAGGTTGAGATCCAGAATAAAGCACGGATTATCATTAGAAGAATGCTAAATGACAACTTCAAACAAGAAAACTTGTTGAATATTCATAGATCAAAACAGCTCTAATAATATTTCATGATAAATATTTAAATATGGCACACTGCTTTTGCATGCAAAATACCCAGATGCTTCCTGCCTTTTAGTACTGAATCTGAAAATCTGAGCCTTGATATATGTGCTTACTTTTGGATGACTTCACGATCAGATGATGCATATCCAAATGCATGGTTGGTACATTCGTTTGGAAAGCTGTGTGGATGGGAGAGCATGTTTAAAAAATACTTCTAATTGGCTCTCAGGCAAAGACATGGGAGGTATCGCTTTGACAGAGAGGCTGTTACAGCAAACAGAATCCCCTGCGGATGGCAGCAGACTTCTTTCTCTCTACACAGAGATTTTGAAGTGCAATATGCTGGCCATAATTGCAATGTAAGATTTTTCCTTGACCAAATATTGACTATCCACAATCAAGGCTTGCTTTTTCATTCAGTTCCTTTAAACAAAAAGACTTAAATACTGTAGAAGCTTCTAATGCTTTTCATTCAACCAGGGCTTGGCTGCAAGGGGAACCTCATGCCAAGAACAAGTTGTGGCAGCAGAAGAGATATTGCAATCCCTGACGCAAAATGTTTCAAGTCAGATGTCCCAACAGCATTCTTACACCACTGGGCTGCAGGCACGAATTAAAGAAGCCAGAGACAAAATAGAGGTACTCCTTCTTTATTGCTATTGTACTTTATACACACAGACATCTCTAATTTTAGCTTTATATGCTTAGGAAGACTCTTTTTCATTTGCATAAAATAAAAAAGGGTTTATACTATTGGAATCAGTCTCCCAGACTCCTGCTGGGGGAGAAACTAGAACATTTCAAAGATTAATATCTCAACTCAAACAACTTGACTAATGTTATGAAGCAATAGCTTTACGTAATTATTGATACTCAGGCATGTTCTGGAAAAAGTCTTTTTCTTCCAAGGCGGTCATGGGTGACGTGAACAACATCTTGTCCAAATCTGAGGAGAGACCCTCAGAGAGGGAGGCTTTGCTCAATTTTGAAGAATCCCAGAAAGAACTTGAGGCCTCCGTTTCAAAGGCTATGCAACTCGTCAGTCAAAAAAAAGTCCTGAAGAATATATTGCAAGATACGAGGTGGGTTTGTTTTCTAAGCCAGCTGAATTTGAGTATTTCTTAGTGGTATTTTGTATCTAAAAGGCTAAGGGACCATAGTGAGAAAAATATCAGATTTTTATTTGTTTGATAGCTATTAGTGGTTTTCTCAGCTTTTTGATTAAGGACTGTTAGCATATATTAACTCAGCAGACAGCTTGGATGAACAAATGTAGATCAGTATTCAGTGCCCTGTCGTAACTTAAATTACTCCATCATCCCATCAGAACTCATCCTGTTCTGAACTACAGCCATTTTGTTTGCCTAATTAATAATTAAGATTCCCATCAAGAATCATATGCCTGGACAGGTTTATAAAGTGTGATTATAAATACTGAATCTCCTCCTTTTCCTAGTGGCTAACTGGTAAAGAAAGTGCCTAATCTCAAGATCTGCATCATGGAATTTTAGAATGGTTTGAGTTGGAAGGGACCTTAAAGATCGAGTTCCAACCCCCCCACCATGGGCAGGGACACCTCCCATCAGACCAGGTTGCTCAAAGCCCCATCCAGCCTGGCCTTGAACACCTCCAGGGATGGAGCATCCACAATATAGCTGGGCAACCTGTTCCAGTGCATCACCAGCCTCACAGGAAAGAATTTCTTCCCAATATCTAATCTAAATCTCCCCTCTTTCAGTTTAAAACTGTTACCCCTCATCCAGTCACTATACTCCCTGATAAAGAGTCCCTCCCCACCTTTCCTGTAGGCTCCCTTTTAAATACTGGAAGGCTGCTATAAGGTCTCTTTATTTTCCATGTGCCTTAGCATAATTTCCAGGAGAACCTGCTCCATGATCTCAGTGGGCACAGAGGTGAGAGTTACCAGCCTGTAGTTCCTCAGCTCTTGCTTTTTTTCCTTTTTTAAAAATGTTTCCCCTTTTCCGTCGTCAGGAACTTCATGGGAGCTCTTAAAGGAGTCCTTAGTGAGGTATCAAAAATTGAAGTGTCCAAAAATCTGTGTTGCCTCATCTTGCACAGCAAGTTCTGGGTGGCCTTGTGCCAAGTGCAGAGCCTCACTCCAGGCCATCTCATAGTTCAGGGACCTTAATCCTTCTTCCTTGGTACCAAATTTGCTTGTAAAAAGAAGAGTTACAAGGACAAAGTCTGCCTTTCTCCAAGAAGCATTCACAGGTATTGTCTGCAACCTTTTAGCAGGTATGCAAGGGTGGAGAATGTCTTCATACACACCCATACAAGGACCATCGCAGCCCATACATGCAACATATACATGCTTTACCCATGGTTTTTGTATGCTACTGATATAATTTTATTAGGCAAATAAGCTGCATTCAGTTTTATTTATTTTTCATTGTGATACTTTTCTTGCAGGAAGCTTTTGATACTCTGGACAATGAAGTTCTTGACAAATTTTTGAAAGCAGCTGAACAATTGAAAAATATTTCATCTGATCATGAAAAGCTGGTAGTGGAAGAGAAGAGTACAGATGTTCATCAAAGATGGAAGGTAAGATGATATAGGAAAGAGAAGCCACTGTTTATTCTCATTAGGCCTTTAAAAAAGCAATTGTTTTGTCACAATTTGTTCTGGGGTTTTTATTTGCTTCGTGTTACCATCTCACAGGGATAATGTGTTTTGAATTTTACAGGCAGTTCATAATGAAATTATATCCTGTGTCCAGCTTATAATAGAAAGGGAAAAAAAGAATTTTAACACAACTTTAAAAAAAATCAATAAGCAATTAGGCAAAGAGAAGAAACTCCTAAGTATGGATAGAACCAAAGAACTCATCAAGGAACATGAGGTACCTGCCACACTCCTTTTCTGCTCACCTACCTCTCTTTGTGAATGACTTGTCTGTCCTTGTTCCTTTTTAGGCACACTTTTGCAGCTTGCGTTTGTGGAACTGGGTCCTTGTGCTTGGTGTCATGTAAACACAGAACAAAAAGGCCACCCAAATTATTTCTTCACCTTTTTTGAGTGCAGATGTTAGCCTTCTTGCAGACTTATCGTCCACAAAACAAGAAGGTATATCTTTTTTCCTTTTTTTTTTAAGACAGCCTTGAAGCATTAGAACAGATTTAGCTGTGCAAATTGTTAAAATGGGAAATGATTGTGTTCTCTGACTCCCTTGATTTGTTACAGTTGCACAGCTGGTGTTAGGTGCCCTCAGTTGAAGAGTATCTTCTCATAGTACAACAGACACACTTTATCTCTGTGTTTGTGCCGTGTATAAACCACAGAGTTAAACCAAGACATTGACAGTTCACTTGCCAGGATGAGTTGTGGTGAATCTTACGTATTCCATAAGCAGTGTTTTTTATACTTCTTTGCTTCTAGTATTTTTCTTCTTCCTCCTCTTTGAGATGCAGTGATATGGAGAGTTTACCACTTATAAGGGTAGGAAATTGCTCTCCTGGTGAAATTCTGCTCTTCACTGAATTCAGTGGAGTTTTAGTCTTTGCTTCTCAAGGGTTCATGTTCAGCTAATACTACATATGCAAGAGTAAAAAGACATCAGCATTCTCAGGTGAATCCCTTCTGCTCCTATTTTTGTTAGATTTTTAATAGATCTTGATTTCACTCTTGAAAGTATAATTATTGGTAAGGAATATTTTAAATAAATTTTCTAATTCTACTTTTTTCTGTAGTCAATTGGACATATATATCTGATGTCACTGAAAAGGACTTTGGACAAAAGTAGCTAAAAGGGTAGTAATGTAATAAATTTCAAAATCAAGCAAGAGTCAGTATAGTCTTGTGAATGATGCTCAGAGGTCTGGAGCACCTCTCCTATGAAGACAGGCTCAGAGACTTGGGGCTGTTCAGCCTGGAGAAGAAAAGGCTCCAGGGACACCTTATAATGGCCTTCCAGTACCTGAAGGGAGCTACAGGAGAGCTGGGGAGGGATTCTCTGTCAGGAAGTGTAGGGACAGGACAAGGGGTAACGGTTTTAAATTGGAAGAGGGGAGATTTAGCTGAGATACCAGGAAGAAATTCTTTGCTGTGAGGGTGGTGAGACACTGGAACAGGTTGCCCAGAGAAGCTGTGGCTGCCCCATCCCTAGAGGTGTTCAAGGCCAGGCTGGATGGGGCTTGGAGCAGCTTGATCTAGTGGGAGGTGGCAGGGAGTTGGAACTCGATCTTTAAGGTCCCTTCCAACTCTAACCATTCTATGATTTCTTTTTTTCCCTTTGTATTTATTTCACATTTTGTTCTTAAACTGAAATTTCTTTTTACCCATAGGAACTCCATTGTTGCTTCTGAGAATAGAGAAAAGCCCAGTTCTTCTCAACAAATTGATATCCTTATGGTACAGGAGGTAAGAAGTCCATACTTACTTATTAGAAGAGAGTGTTCTGTCTAGGGGAGATCATTGGCAAAAGAAAAACATGATTATTTCTGTTACTATTCTTATTGTGGTGGGACCTCAGGTTTCTGGTCAGACATCAAAAACTCATTGCGCTTGGGAATGTAGACTAAATATTAAAAAGTCAAATGCAAGGAACAGCGCCAGGCATCCCGAGGAGATGCAAGTCTCCAACCCTGTGTTACATTTTGCTAAAGGATGGGTTTCAGCTGGAAGAGTCATGTGTGAAGCTGCGTTCAAATGCAAATAGCCCATAGTCTTTCAGTAATTTGAACAAGTTTCAGAGAAGACAGAGAGGAAAAATAGTGAAGAGTTGGATGCATTTGCTTTAGAAAAATATAAGGAAAAGCAGAGTATGTTTACCATCTTAAATAATTTGAGAGAGAAAAGATACTGTACTTAGGCATTTGGATGCTGCAGAAGGTGTCTTCTTTATGATAAACATTAATGGAAACAATGCTGCAAACAGCTCATCAGGCACCCTCCAGAGTGGTGGTTTATAGGAAGGACCCCATTATATTTCCATCAAGTTTGAAGATATGTAGAAATTGGGTCTTGTGAAAGCAGATGTCTTGTAAGAATTCTAATGTGCCTGATAAAATGATGAAATCTGTTCTCTCGTGGATAATCAAAGTATGAATTGTATAACTAACGCCAACCAGCCTCAGAGCGAGTATCAGAGGAGTAGAGTATGTCCTGGAATCAAGGGTGAGAGACACGTGAAAGCATCTGGTATAAACAGCCTGACAAAAGCTACAGAATACAGTGCCTCATTGGTTGCTCAAGGGTGTCCATGGAGCTGCAGCAAAAATTTGCATAAGTAGCTTGTGCTTGTCAAAGACCTAGCATCTCTGGAAGGAATAAATTATCTGGCTGCAAGTGTTAAAAAAAAAAATAAATTGCTCCTTTGTGTGGGAAACTTTGGCTGGTTTGAGGGATGGGAATGTGAGCTTAACATTGACCTTGAGCAGACACCTGTGTATCCTTGAAGAGGCCTGAGAGTCCTGAGAAGAGGGCAGTAAATAAGATTAAGGACGAGTCAGACTGCCAGCAGAGGAAAGTGAGTGAAGTTACAGCAGAGAACAAAGAAGGAGGAAGTCATCCAATCGTGCACTGCTGGACTTCGAGTGAACCAATTATATATGGACACACGTTCCTAAGAAAGATATGAAAGAGTTTGTTAAAACAATGAAGTTGGGTCTTTTGGGCTCACGGAGGGGAGTGTGTCGTCGTGGCCGTCTCAACAGCGACATCTGGTGATGTCATCTGGTATCTAAGGACGTGCAATTGGATTTGGGATTCCAACTGAACCAGCGGTGGGTGCAGCCGTGGAGACGGAGCCCAGCAGCGGGAGCTGTGCAAGCCGGCCAGCAGGACAGCCACCTGGGTAAGGGGAGAGGGATATAGCAACCTGGATAAGGTGAGAGGGACACCTGCATTAGGTGCGCCGCTGGGAACGTGGGTACTTCTTTAAGTAAGGAAGAGACTATGATTATTTCGATGTGGAAAATGATTTTGCGAAAAGGAGATGTTAAGTTGGATGAATTGTCTGTAAGAAAGATGCCATTGTGGATCGAGTGCACCCTCAATAAGTTGACAGATGACACCAAGCTGGGTGGCAGTGTCACCCTGCTGGAGGGTAGAGAGGCTTTGCAGAGAGATCTGGACAGGCTGGATGGATGGGCTGAGACCCACGGGATGAGTTTCAATAAGGCCAAGTGCCGGGTCCTGCCCTTGGGTCCCACCAACCCCAGGCAGCGCTCCAGGCTTTGGGAGGAATGGCTGGAGAGGTGCCTGGTAGAAAAGGACCTGGGGGCGTTGGTGGCCTGTGGGCTGAACATGAGCCAGCAGTGTGCCCAGGTGGCCAAGAAGGCCACCAACATCCTGGCCTGTGTCAGGAACAGCGTGGGGAGTAGGACTCGGGAGGTGATGGTCCCCCTCTGCTCAGGCACTGGTGAGGGCCCACCTCGAGAATGAGGTTCCACAAGGCCTAGTGCCGGGTCCTGCCCTTGGGTCCTACCAACCCCAGGCAGCGCTCCAGGCTGGGGGCAGAGTGGCTGGAGCTGCCTGACAGAAAAGGACCTGGGGGTGTTGGTGGCCTATGGGCTGAACATGAGCCAGCAGTGTGCCCAGGTGGCCAAGAAGGCCACCAGCATCCTGGCCTGTATCAGGAACAGCGTGGTGAGTAGGACTCGGGAGGTGATGGTCCCCTCTGCTCAGGCACTGGCGGGGCCCCACCTGGAGAACCAGGTTCCACAAGGCCTAGTGCCGGGTCCTGCCCTTGGGTCCTACCAACCCCCCGCAGAGTGGCTGGAGCTGCCTGACAGAAAAGGCCCTGGGGGTGTTGGTGGCCTGTGGGCTGAACATGAGCCAGCAGTGTGCCCAGGTGGCCAAGAAGGCCACCAGCATCCTGGCCTGTGTCAGGAACAGCGTGGGGAGTAGGACTCGGGAGGTGATGGTCCCCCTCTGCTCAGGCACTGGTGAGGCCCCACCTCGAGGGCGGTGTCCAGTTTTGGGCCCCTTAGCACAGAAGAGACAATTGAGGTGCTGGAGCGGGTCCGGAGAAGGGCAAGGAAACTGGTGAGGGGTTTGTAGAATAAGTGTTATGAGGAGAGGCTGATGGATCTGAGGTTGTTCAGCCTGGAGAAAAGGAGGCTGAGGGGTGACCTAGCTCTCTCCAACTCCCTGAAAGGAGGGTGTAGCCGGGGGGGTTGGTCTCTTTTCCCAAGTCACAGGCGACAGGACAAGAAGAAATGGCCTCAAGTTGTGCCAGGGGAGGTTCAGGCTGGATATTAGGAAAAATTTTTTCACCGAAAGGGTTATCAGACATTGGAATGGGCTGCCCAGGGAGGTGGTTGAGGCACCATCCCTGGAGATGTTCAAGAGACGGGTTGATGTAATGCTGGGAGATACAGTTTAGTGATGGTGATGCTTCTTGTTTGTTCTGTGGGTTTCTATTTTTGTCAAAGTTAGGTTGACGGTTGGACAGGATGATCTTTAAGGTCCCTTCCAACCTAGAAGATTCTGTGATATGAGCCAACAACTATTAACTTTTTTATTGTCTCTGTTTGGAAGGAGATAGGTGATAACTTGTTTGACTGTGCCAGCTTAGGGGCGAAATATAGCACTTTTAATGACATGGTGTTTGCTTTATGACATGCTGAAAGACTTCAGAGCACAGCGAGACCAGGCAGAGGGCACTGCCTCTGCTTCTAATCCCATACAAAGTCTTGTGTCCCCCCTGCCCCAATCCCTTCAAAGGAACAGACTCAGGAGAATAAAGAAATTATGGATGCTAGGGGAACAACGGAGAATGTAATGCTAGAAGGGGAAAAGATTGTAGAGTCTGGAAAAGGTTCGACAGGAGGCATTAGCAGCCGGGGACTTAAGCATAACATCTGAGCTTGTCACACCAGTAATTTACGAGCCCTGTCAACAACCAAAGTGGGAAGGACTGACTTTTGCTATCATCAAAGAACTCCAAAGGGGAGTGCTCAACTACGGCCCTTCCTCACTGTGTTCTGTGACCATGTTGGCTCAGAGCGCGGGATGGACGGGCAGGCAGGCAGCGAGGAGATCTGTGGCCGCCGAGTGGAAGCAGCGTGGAGCTGGGGAGGGGAGAGGAAGGTGCTGGCGGTGGCAGAGCCAGCATCCTGGCCCCACGGCAGTGGCAGCAGGAGGAGGAGAAGGGTGGCAAGGTGCCCCCCAGCCCCGCCATGCCAGGTGGACTCGCAGCATGGTGGCAAGGAGCCCGTGCCAGGAGGAGTCTCCGTGCCCCAGCGAGAGGCAGCAGTGACCGCGGTGGATTCCAGCGAGGTGTGTTCGTCCTTACCCACAGCATTTGACTCAGAAGGACTGAACGTGGTATTGTGTCTCAACTAAGAGATAAACACAGTGTACGCTGTGTAGAACAAAGGGGGTAGGATACAATCTTTTAGCTTTTAGGTGTTTGTATGTGCCTCTGTTTTGAGATGCACCCCATTCAGTGCTGTTTCGTACAATAAATTTTAATCTTTGCTTCGATGACTTTGTTCTCTTTAAAATTCTAAGTGTGAGCTGGTGTTTCTCACAAATTAGGGGCTCATCCAGGATCAGCACTCGTGTTCCTAGTGTACGCTGTGTAGAACAAAGTGGGTAGGATACAATCTTTTAGCTTTTAGGTGTTTGTATGTGCCTCTGTTTTGAGATGCACCCCATTCAGTGCTGTTTCGTACAATAAATTTTAATCTTTGCTTCGATGACTTTGTTCTCTTTAAAATTCTAAGTGTGAGCTGGTGTTTCTCACAAATTAGGGGCTCATCCAGGATCAGCACTCCTGTTCCTGCGAGACGGGACAGCAAGAGGAGAAGGCGTGCCCTGCTCATCTTAGCAGTCTGTCTGCTGTCTTGTGTTGTAAAAGGCAGCGGGTCCTATCCGGATGGAGGACTCTCAAAGCAAAGAAGGGGGAAACTGATTATTAAACCTCTACCCTTACAGAAAGTCTGATTAGCAGGAAAAAGAGGCTAGATCCAGAACTCTGGGAAGTCTGCGAGGAACTTTGGAAAAAAAAAAACCACCAAAACCAAACAAACAAAAAAACCCCACAACAACAAGCACGGATGATGAAATGCAAGCTCTTGTTGCAATATTTAAAAGTATCTGAATGATTGGATGGTTAAATGATCTTTTTAATGATTGGGGTTTAACTGGTTGGATGCAATCAGCCTTACAAATTGTGCTTTTCTGTATCATCATCTTTCCCTGTATTATGATCTGTATTCCCAGCACATGATCAGAAGAGAGAAACTATATATGCTGTAAAAATAAAACATGAAATGTCTTCGCTTCACCACCCGGGGGAGTCCGTGCCCTTTGTTGCTGCAATATCGTTCACAGTGAATAAATATTTACCTATTTGAATCTAAAGATGGTGTAATTCTATGGACCTAATCCTGAAATGTTTAGTTTATCCCT